TTAGAGAGTAAACTATTTCTTTGTTTTGCTTTGTTTTGTTTGTTTACCTGTCCCACCAAGAGGCTGATCAACTCTTCCCAGTTTCCTCCCCCAGTAATTTATTTGCTGTAGCAAAGGAGCCCGTTTTTTTCCCCCCCACAATGACCGGATTCATTATGACTTGTTGGCAAATAGAATTTTTTTTAAAAAAAAACCTTTGTTGTTGTTGCTGTTGTTCCTTTAAGGTGGGTGGAAGAGATCAAGTAAATGTATGGAACCGAGAACTTTTCAGAGGTATCCATTTGTCCTTGGGACTGACGTCCTGCTGAGAGCTTATCAAAGTTTAACACCTAGAGCGGCTGACCAGTTCACCTGAATGCAAATGGGATTTATCTCGAAGATAAACATGGAGGTTAGAGTGGAAGCTGAACACAAAGAAGAACACAAGGGAGTTTAGTACATGAAATGGCCTTTTATGTATTTGTCTTTACATGTACTTATATGTGGAGACTGTCACCAATAAAGCCAAATAATGGAACATAAGTAGTCACAGCTTACTAGGGGGGTCTGGGGACAATTTCTGAATGGTGACAGTTGTTTGAAGGGGTACAGTAATCTTAGTGACCATAACTTGAATTCCCCCAAATATCGCTTTTGTTTAGCAAACTAGTTCAACTTTAAAAGAGGAGAAATGTCTTCTATCTCTGTCTCTCTCTCACACACATCTCAATATTTTATACAAATGAAAATTATTAAAATTGAACTGTTGTCTGTGGTCTCCCCTGCTCCTGCTATTGGGGTTACGTGTCATTATGCGTTCCTCTGAAAATGCAGCTCTCCTAGCTGGGCTGTGCAGAATCTTGCAAAGGTTTAGGTGCAAACGTTAGATTTTATTTCTTCGCATCAAAAGCAGTCGACATGTTGGTGAATTAACTCCCCCCCCCCTCCCATTTACTCACACAGTATCACCTTCCATGAAGTTCAGTGAATCGGGGGAGTTAATTGTTAATTTTCTCAGCTGCCCTGCGTACTTAAGTTGAGGAGTAGATGCCTTGGAAAGCTGTAAGGTTAATGTCACAACTTCTGTCTGTGCTGTGCTGTGATATAAGGCGACAGCATTGCCCTGATTGTCGTGAAATCTGACTTGGGGTCAGCAGTGGTCGCTGGTAAGGAGGCTGCATGTCTGACTTTTCACCTGGTTGAACTGTGTTCACTGACTGTACAGCCAGTGCAAAATGGGTGTAACAGTACAGCTTCTGCTTCAGATCTAACAGGCCTAACATCTAAAAGACATCAAAGATGCTTAGAGGAACTTAGCCTACTTTGAGGGAAAAGGAATTTTGCTCTGAAGATTAAAGACTTTGTGGCTTTTCTGACTTTTTTCCTATTTAACTCCAAAAGTGGCAGGTGAAGTTGGGGGACGTTTGTGTCCCCCTTCAAAGATACTGCCTAACTTTGCTGGCTGCTGGCCACTCAGGGTCAAGGTGTGTAGTTCAGTACATCGGAGTGATGACTGCAAAAAGAATAGAGAAGCTCATCTTAGAAATTCTATTCTAGACTGTCTGGCTTGGCACTCTGCCCCCTCCCCACCCAGTTTTTTTCCCTTCTCCCTCTGTTTCTTTCTGTGTTGGTGCAATGGCCTCCCATGGTCAGTGTTGTTAGTTCCTTATCTGTGCTTGTTTTTCCCAGACTGATAATGGTTCTCTCTTCCTTTTCTCCCCCTCACTCTTTCCCTCTGTCTTTTTTTTATTTTTTCCTCTCTTTGTTTCCTTTTCTTTCTTTCACTTTCCTTCCATGTCACGCTCCTGCTCTCTTTCATGCTGCCCTCTCTGCCGTTGCTGGTACGAGCATCTCCGCTTACATGCAAACGTGGAATTTTCGGCCTGACGGTTTGCAGTGTTGGAATGTTAAGTCAGCACTACGGAGCTGATTGGAAGTGATAAAAAAATCACAACCTGTTTCTCTTCCACGGTGACATATTCCCCTCCCTCACTACTGCATTTTAAAGCACTGCAAGGCTTTTTTTTCCCCAGTGTTTTGTTGTGTTATCAAACGTTTTGTTTTAGTAGCTGGGAAATCACCACAGACTAAAATATGAAATTTAACCATAAAGATATGGGGATACATCGTATTGTTTTATTTTTCTAGCATTGAGGTCATATTAAGATGGACATCTGTGGTATTTATTAGCAGAGACTATGGGAAATGACCACAATAATTAACTTATGTGAAATTGTAACACTTGAATAACTTGTCATATCAAACTGCCTTAGACCACATAATGTCCATACAGCAAACATACCTAAACCTGTTTCATGATGCTGCTCCCACTGATAAATTCTACATGAATATAAATGACAGACACTGTCACTAAAGCCTGAATGGTCATTACAGCCAGTTTAAATTCTGGGCATTTCATCAGCAAGAAGAGCTCATAATAAATTCATTGAGCTCTGTAAATACTACGGAGTCAGTCAAAAGTCTGGAACCACCCACATATTTTTAAGATTCCTTAATGCTGGACTAACCTAACCCATGTCATTTTGAATTAGACCAATGACTGCTGGGTGAGGTATGTGTGCACACCCCTGTGGGGACTATGTTGAAGGTGACCATCTTAAATTCAACTCAGTAGTAGGCTTATGTGACCACTCTTAACATTTTTTAAATTTCAAGACGCTACGTAGTGAGGTCAGATTTTTGATATCTTTATTGGTTGTGAAGGTTGAACTGTTACAGTGTGGACATTGCTCGTGGGAGTTTTACTTACCTTTACTTACTGAGTGATACCCCATCAGATTGTAGAGGAGGCTGGACCAACCAGTCAGATGTCTTAGTCCCACCTCCTTTAGTTGCTTAAAGCCACCTCCTCTACAACCTCATTGATTCAGAGAGAGAGCCAATCATTTTTCATTCTGCCCTTTAGAACATTTCTCTGTAAAACTCCCATGAGCACAGACATTAAGCAACTGTGCTGAATGCAATGCCATCCATAAACCCAAGACCATTCTGTAGAATGTGTTCAGAGTGCTGTCCATTTTGGGCAAGGTACAGCCGCAGAACATTGGTCCAGATCGGTCACAATCCTCAGCGACGTGTATTAAGTTTCAAAGTTTTTATCACGTCATCTGACAAAGTACCATGATACAGAAAGATGAATCACGAAGCTCATGGTCCACAGTGTACACACAGTGTAAATGACATGCTCACGCAGTTAGGACAGTGCAATATACAGACAGTATACATGGTAGTTAAATGTACTGGCGTAAATACACAGGCACATTTAAATTCAGTTTAACAGGTCTAACACTCAGTTTAGGGGAAGGGAAAGCCGTCTGACTGAGACGTCCAATCCAACATGTTCAGGGGCATGTGAATGGGTGGACAATAGATCAAACAATGGCACAATACAGGACAAAACACAAGTGCAGCAAAAGACAAGACAATGTAAGACAAAAGAGAGTGCAATATAAGAAGTGGCCATCCATAAATAGGCGGTGCATCGTGTGGTTCCTACCTTCAAATGACCCACATTCTGGCTCTTTGTATTGGTTACATCAATCCAGAATTAGGTGAATTTGGTGGTTTCAGACTTGACTCTAGATATGCACCGATCCACCGTTTTCAGTTCCGATACCAGTACCTAGGTTTTGGGTATAGGTTGATCCCAAGTACTGATCCGATATCAGTGTTTGATTTAATGAGCTGTAAATCTGGGAGGAGATGGATTATTCTGTTAAATTTACAGAATCACCAGGATTAAATACTTGACGAAAATACTGTTTTCCTAACTTTGAGACAATGTAACATATACACACACATGTATATACTGGATTATTATTAACAAATAGTCAGCTAATGGTAACTTTTAATCATTAATCCGTATTCGTATAATTTAACACCGTGTGTGGGCTCCTGCGCGCTAGTAAACATTACATACCTGGGGCAACGACAGATAAACTACGAGCTAGGCAGCCGAAACCTGGGCATTCCTCCATATGCATGTGATGGACTTTCGCTAGATGTTTCGACAGATTGCTGGTGTCGCCGCCCTTACATGCAAAACACTTGTTACTTTTCCATTGTCAGCACACACACGGCTGCGGGAGAGATCCTCCTTCTGGATTGAGAATAGCGAAAATGCAGCCAGACACGTACACTTGTATATCACAAAGTGTAGCTCCCAAATCATCCATTTGCTTTTTCATATTACTCGCGTGTAATTGCGTGCGCTTTGTTCAGTGGGATTTTCCACTCCGCAGTATACTTCCACCTCTCAAAACTTATTTATTTATTCACAAAGATCGCTGTACTAATAGTTGTTGTTTCAAGCATAAAATCGTCACCCACATATCTGATATTCTCCTCCTTCTGCAAAGGGTATGCACATGTAATGTGAAAATACGCTATATAAAATAAAATGGTCACAGCAAGCCTAAGTCACCGCGCTCGCGCCCAGACTGCGCGGCGGCGCCGGCGCTCGGCGTGGATGCTGTTCATAGTGGCAAAGAGCTGTCCTGCGGTTGTTTGCACAAATCGATTTAAGAAGAAATGGGATCTTTTTACGGACTGCAGAAAGCCGAATAAGTATCGGACGTGGATCGCTCACGTACGGCCGATGCCCGATCTGTCATAGGTATAGATAGGCATTCGCCATGTAGATTTAAGAAAGATTTCGTTTTTTAAAGAATTAAAAATGGGCATTTTAAAGTATTGATGCTTAGGTTTTGGTAAGAATAAAAATGCGCGTAAATATGGTCAAAATGCAGAGATTTTAATGGACTTGTACTGAGTAAGATATTAGAAGATACTACTATGTGAATTATGTAAAAGTGGTGTTTTTGAGTGCTGTCAGTGCATGGGTCAGTCCATTGTCAACTTTGCAGGGGGGTGCTTATGTTGTACTGTTTGGGTGCACAGGCATAATCCTGATTAGCAAGTTGACTCTTGTCTATATTACAGGTTTGTCCTGTAGGGGTGTGTTTTCATACGCCTAAGGACAGCCAGACTGGTCCCACCATGATTATGTATCAGCATTGCACAATTTGTGTGTATTGGCTTATTACCTGTGAATGAGCATGGTAACAGGCTTATAAACTTGACACAAAAAACCCCTCAGCCTGGACTTTGCTGCTGTTTTGGTATACTTCAGTGGCTGTGATCAGACATTACACAGAAGGAGGAATGCACCTGTTGCTCTTTGAGAAGTAAGGCCCTTTCTTCCTGTTTTAAACAGAATTTGCATAGTGAATGTCGTGGAAAGGCCCATGCAGATCAGCCTTTACCACTGACTAGAAGAGAAGCCCAGCTTCAGCACTCTCTTCTAACACCAGACGTGGGGTATGCATTCATACATTTCTGCTAGTTACTTGTGCAGCATGGTGTCCTGTTTGGTCATGGTATAGCCTCATACACCGATGGTTGTGGATTCAGTTCCTAGGTCTTTGTGTGTGTGGGGTTTGCATCTTCGTCCCTTCTCCTGGGGCCTGTATCACGTGACCCGATTTCTCGCTTAGCAGGATAGCTTGTTGGATTTAAGGTGCCCCAGTTTTAACTGACTATCTTCGTTGACTTACATTTAGCCCAGACTACCTTAAATCTGAAATGTTACCTGACTAAACAAAAAAATCCAGCTTTATGATACAGGCCCCTGGTCTCCTTCTGAAGTCCAAAAACAGTTACTGTAGGTGAATTGGTGTCACTAATTTGCCCCTAGTCTTTGTGTGTGTGTGTGTGTGTGTGTGTGTGTGTGGTTGTGTGTGTATGCGCTCTGATTGACAGGCATCCCAAGCAGGGTGACCATACCTAGTCCATTGTTGCTTGGAATGGGCTACAGCAATGTTTTCCAATCCAGGCCTCGGGGAACCCTGGTCAGTCCATGTTTTTGCTTCCTCTCCGCTCCCTGTGCACCTGTACCAGATATTCTGTGCTCCTGATTGGTTGGGAGGGAGCAAAAATGTGGACCCTGAGGGGTTCCCTGAGGACTGGGTTGGGAAATACTGGGCTACAGGCTCACTGTGACCCTGTCCTGAGTAAAAAAAAATATTGCAGTGTTTCCCAATCCAGTCCTCAGGGAGCCACAGTCCACGTTTTTGCTCCCTCTCAACTCCCAGTAGGGTGTGGACTGTCTGTGTGTGAACCTAAATTCAGTGGGGTTTTTTTAGCTTCGCTTCAAAAAGTTCACAAGTCTAACCACAGTAACTTGCATATTATTTATGGAGTACAAAGATAGCCAAATCTGTGCTTAAATATTTATTGTTATTGTTAACAACCAGTGTAAATTTTTCGAAAAGACCAACCACTAAATAGCACAGAAAGAAAACAACGCATGAAGGAAGCACTACCTGATTGGTTACTTTCATTTAGACTGACTAGTGGTGCACCTATGTGGAAAGTTTGACCGATAACGATAACAGAGAGATTTTGTGTAATATCCCCAAAACTGATATCTGGTTTACCTCTGAGCCGTTTGCCAGCAGTGAAACTTGCCAAGCTTGCTGGCGCAGATTAGCGGAATGACATTACATTACATTTTATTCTGTGGAAAATGAAAGATCAATCTGCAAGCCAGATTAAATAATGAATCATAAACATGTCATGGGCTGTAACTTTGAGACTTCTTGTGTCAACGAAATCTCTAATCCTCCCCTATGGAAAATGGGTGATGGTTCAATGCAATCATCTCCATTATCTCAGTAGTTGTGTCTTTAACTCTGCTGTTGCCAGCTTAGCACAAAGATTATCTTAACCATTCTGCACAACAAAACGCAAAAAAAGTTTCCCAAAAGCGTCGTAGTCATCAGCTGCTGTTTCGGTTGTGAATAATAATGAATCTTCCCCTGCTTTCCTGCGTTTCTGGCAATTCACATGCCTGGCTACTTTGCATCTACCAGAAGCGCGAAAGCCTGCAGCCTGGAAGCCTGTGACATCACAGGCTGATGCGATTTGAATCGCATCTTGATAACCGATTCAACACCAAACATGAGCTCAGTCATTGATGTATGTCTCTAAATAAATTCCTAAAATTTGAGTTGGGGTCTGTGAAGTGTTGCGTTTGTGGTGGGGAAAGAACAGCTTATCATACACTGCCGTCCCTTAGCCAAAACTCAAAGGTGGGTTGTTTTGGGTGGCAAGTTCAGGGCGTTTCCTTTCCTCCTATGAGCTCACACCAGCGTTGCTTAATGTGTTCTCTGTGTTGCGTGTTGAAATGGCTTGAAACTCTTTTCCAAACGTCATTGACATTCCAAAGGCTGATAATGAAAGTATTTCTCTTTACTCACTGTGGTAGCTGATCAAGTCCCGGGCATTTCGATAATGGGGCCCAAGGAGCTGGTCATTATCAAATATCAGCTGTAACACGCAGTCGGTTTCTCACAGTTCTTGGATGCCTAAACAGGAATGTAACAGGCTGGCTTATGGCTTAAGTTTAGTGTACTGAAGATTCACAGGATAACATATTAATGGAACGTTTCAGTGAAAGGGGGCGGTGTGCAGCTCACCAAGTTAGGACACCGTGCCTATGCTTAGAATGTCACCAGTTCAAATCCCAGGCTCAGTAGCATGATGTCATTATCAGCCCCTTGAGCAAGACACACAACCCCCCCAATAGCTCCAGGTACTGGCTAGCCTTGCCTTCTCACTTGGGATGAAAGCATCTGCGAAACAAATCAAAGATAAAAGCAGGACTAAATCACTCCTTGTATATGTGTAAGCTTGTTGAGTCAGTGTTCTTACTGACTGTGGAAACGCTCATGTGCAGCGTTAACACACCTGCGCTCTCTTCTCATCTCCCGCAGTTTTCCCCTCTGAGGTCCACTCTTCACCTCCTTTCATAGCCCCTCTGACCTGCCGTCTTTCCCATGTGGATGCATGGCAGATGCAGGCATGCGCTGCTGCGCACAGTAATGCTCTTGTGCCGGGCTGCCACCCTCCCGGGGCACGTCGCATTCCTGCTATTGCTGCCCAACCCCAGCGAGGAAGCAGCCGTGGCAACAGAAGAGGCTGGGGGTCGAGGGGGTGGGGGGGATACGTGAAGCGGCCCTAATGTCTTTTTTGTTTGGGCCCCCACAGCGGAATACCAGCTTGCGTTCCCAAACGGCCTCTGTCAACACCCTCTGTACAGCTGAAAGGGCTCTGAAGTCGCGTGTTACATTCTTCCTGTGCTCCATTTTTTACTCCCCCCCCCCCCCCTAACGATTTATGAACATTGTTTGCTTTCATCTTTTTCAGTTTCATGAATAAAATCTGATCTTGCTGCCCTGGAAAAAGCATAAAAGGGAACTTGTAAAACAGAACTATTGTATGTCTTTAAATGGCATGGCGTCACAGGTGTGTGTCAGTATGTTCAGTATAACAATCAGCAGTGCTTTCTGGAATTCTACAGCAAAACTGCAGGACTTTATAAAGGTTGTAAATGCCTCCTCCCTTTAAAATTGCTCTTTGTTTGTGGCTTTCAGTTGAGTTTGGCTGAAGTGCAAAAAAATGTTGGCTGAGTCTTTTTTTTTTTTTTTGTTATTTTGGTGTCTGCCCCAGTCTGTAAGTGGTCCGCCAGTGTGATCAGGCTGCCATTATTGCCCCATGACGGAATGCCACCAGAGCCTCCAGTGACTAGTTGGACTTTCATTCTTGTGGCCCTGGTTTCTCCCATCCCAGCTCTTGACAGAAGTGCGTTCCTGCTTTTACGTGGACAATCGGTGCTCAACTGTGCCAGCCTGCTGGGACCCTGCGGTCAGAGTGCTCGGACAACGTGGGCAAGAGGAACAAGTGCGGAAAACGAGGAAAGGGACAGACAAATTAGTTATTTTTGGTAAGTCTTCCCATCCCCCCCCCCCCCCCCCTTTCTTAGCCTCAAGACTGCTAGCTGACAGAGCCGTTGTCATGGTGATTCACTGAGCAGTCACAGCACAGTGATCCCCAGCATAACAACAGACAAGAGGGCAGTGTGAACTCTACGGACGAAAGCGTACGAGAAACTCCGTGTGAGAGAGATCGGCCTGCGAGTGCCGCGGATGTTTCTGAGAAACCGCTACTTTGAACAATTTTCCTATCATCTTGAATAACCTGTTTCCAAAGTAGAAGTTGACAATCAGTTTAAATTGGCAGTGTTTCTGTGTATCTGGTGTTTTTTTCTGTTTAATGGTTGTATTATCACAATGGACAAAAGATACGCTAAAAGTGTTTGTAGTGTAGTGCACAGGCGTTTTGTGAACCACGTAAACGCTGTATATGAAAACTCTTAATTTCTTCATAGCGGCTAAAACCACTAGATCTTTTTCCAAATGAAGACCCTTAAATCCTGAGAAAATCCTTTGCTTTTCTTATATTGGATTTCATGCTTCTCCATTAAAGTTGGGGAAACTTTAATGTTTTAGATCATAATTATAAGAAGTTCTTATAAAAGTTAGTAGACTTTGGATTATGGAGTTTGTGTTTTCTCACTTTGTTCCCACATCTTACAAAAGGAAACATAGTCACTTAGTGCCCAGTTTAATACAGCTCTGGAAAAAATTAAGAAACCACTCTATATTTGTTAAAAAATCTGCATTCTTAAATCCTGGTTTAATCCTGGTTCTGCTGGCATAAGACTACACTGCAAGGCAGGCTGCTTCCAGGCTCAAAGTTTCCAAGACAGCAGCACACAACCGCAAGGTGAAGCATGAGACACTGGCAATGACTAAAACCAGCCAGGTAAAGGGCAGAAGCAACTTTCTAATGCAAGAGATGACTTATTCTCAATTTACCCAGCAGTGCCTCATAAATCAGAGGATGACCCCAAGTGACCTTCAAAAGGAATGGGAAACATTAAGTGGTGTGAAGTGCATCGCTAGGACAGTTAGGACTGCTAGAAGCCCTTAAAGTCCCATAAAGCAAAGACGGAGCCCTTCATCAGTGAGAAGCAGGAAGAGCCAGGCTGCAGTTTGCAAAAACATGTATATTTTGCACAGGCACATACTCATAAATTAAGTAAAAAGTGAAACTAAAAATGTTGCTGTGGTGTCTCTATTTTTTCCAGAATTATAAATGTTTCTGTATTGGGTGGGCATTCGGTATTAACCCTTTCCCCACAAAGGGCAATTTTAGCCTACAGTTTACATAATGTGTGAATTAGACAAAAAAAAAAAAGTATCGTTAAAAAATATACTATGAAGTAATGACTTAATTACTTAATCCTATTCAGTGCCTGCAGATTCTCATTTTTGGCTCGTATGGAAATCGCTGATTTCTTCAGTAATATCAGCTCAACCTTGCATATACTTGTTTTAAGTCATATGGTGTTTTTTTTGCACAATATTAAAATAAAAATTTCACCCCAAAAAGTTTTTAGAAAAAATCTTGGTGAGGATCTCGTGACACCTGCCATGCATCTGCTCTGTTGTCCATCCAGCCAGATTATAACCTCGAGCCCGAGAAGCGTTGCTTTCTCACACCCCTTTCACGTCGGCAGACGGTGGAATTGCGGCTTTAATCCTCAGCTAAATCCAAGACTAATGACGGGATTAAAGCCGCTGTCCGGCTGCTCCCTCAAGGTCCCTGCAAGAGCTGCACTTTGGGCTTGATAACCGAACAGTTTGTATACAGACACCAGAAACCCCTGGAGGTGCAGGAGGGGCCACAGCTGCTGATGGTTAAGATGGGCTCACGTCTTCCCAGAACTTCTTGTGTCCCAATCCACTATATTAATGTCCCGAGGTCACACAAAACGGGGCCCTTGCCATACCTGAGATGCCTGGGCTGTTTTTCTTGAGGAGCCTTCAGATAGTGTGCGCGTGCGTGCGTGTGTGTGTGCGTGTGCGCGTGTGCGTGTGCGCGTGTGCGTGTGTGTGTGCGTGTGCGTGCGTGCGTGTGCTGGCATATATATGTTGAGGGAACCAAATGTCCCCACGTTATAAAAACCTGGTCTTTTGACCTTGTTGGGACCCTTTTCTGGTTCCCACAAGGGGAAATTCAGTTTTATAAAAAATCTGTGACTGCAATCAAAGAAGTAAAGATGCAGAAAGTCTTGTATTTTGTTTGGTTACTTGTGGTTAAGGTTAGGGCAGGGTAGGGGTTAGGGATGTCATTGCTGGGATTAGGGTTACACCCAAAGATATAGATACTGAATGTGTGTGGGGTGGAGCGGAATGCAGCAGGGCTGTCATGAACCTGGGGGTCTGGGGGGGTTATCAGTCTGCAGCTGGAGGGATGCTGTTTGAACACTGTGGTCCAGCTGCAAGATTGCAAGGTCACAAGATCACAGGGAGGATTCTCCGTCCTCCCATGAGGGGCATTGTGCACCTCTGAGGTCAGGAGATTTCGGAGCAGCGTGTGAGGTCTGAGCAAAGGCCTGCAGTCGTATAACTGTCGGGTCTATTCAGGGGTGCCACAGTCTGGAACCCTTGAAAGTAGGATCGTACACGGTCCAACCCAGACTAATCCAGTAATGTCCCCTGTCACTCATGGGTCCTTTGGAATCGTCCTCACCCACCTCCCTCACCCCCACCCTTCCCCTGTCTATATGGAGTTTACCTTTAGCAGAGGGTAGATATGGGTTTGACTGATGCTGAATTACCAAAACTGAGTATATGCATAAAATTAATGAAATGCTGCTCTTGTAAAAGAATTTTGAATGTCTGAAAATAATCATTGGAATGTACATCGATCATCCTGCCCAAAAATGACTTTTTTCCCCCCCAATATTGTACGACCTTCAGGATGCTCTTGCGTGACTTTTGTCCCTGCACTATGTCAAAAGAGCGATATCAGTGCAGAGCTGGCTTGAATTGGCCTATCTGTGGAAGATTGCCTCTGTTTTTAGCTGTTTCACTGGTGTGAATTGATAGACTTGTTTAAAGAGAGGCCTGGGTTGTCTCAGCGAAGCAGACGGTAGGATTACACTGCTGAAGCAACCTTGGACCATGATGGTCTGTGTCTCAGCACGGTGTTTTGGTTGAGGAAAGGAGGGCACCTTAAGATGGCCGGGCGGCGGGGCTTGAGCCCGGGCTTAGCTATAATCCTTCAGCTGGCATTTTATAGCTCTCCGTGTGTCACTTTGCAAACACATTCTCTCTATCTTTTTTTCTTTTGCTTCTTTTCCATTTTTCCCCGCTCTCTCTCTCTCTCTCTCTCTGTCATTTACTACCTTGTCAGCTGTTGGGAGTCTTATAAATATCCTTGATTGTTAATCTCATAACGAAATTTGTATCCACACCTAGGCATAAAGACTGGCCAAAGCTTAATGTGTCCTTTGGGTCTGGTGCATTTATTTGCCTGGGGGTGTAGCATTGATTAAAATGTACCTGGTAACTGAAGGTAGCAACCTGGGGGAGACTTCACTTTATTAGCTCCTTTTCTAATAGCGTAATATTGTACGGTAAAAAAACACTAAGCTGAACTAAACAGTTATTATAAGGTTTGTGCATAATATTGTAATACATCCTGTTAATTTCCCTGCCTCTGTTTAGCAAATAGTGATGTTTAATGGCAGAATTCACGTTCACGGTATGTCTGCAGTTCAGGTGTTACGAGATGTTTAGTTACCTTTTAATTACTTTAAGAATTTCAATTTGAATTTCCCTTCCTTTTTCATTAATCGACAGATGAAAATATCTTGTGGGTGAGATTTAGGTTTCTGTTTTTATTTCGTTGGGCATCTGCTTTCTCGTTTATCCACATAAACCATATCGTCAGTGTGACGGTTTTATCTCGGCGCTAAGCCCTGGCGCTGCACGGGGAAGGTGCGGCAGGAGCTGTGTGATCTGACCTGACCCTGGGAGGTCAAAGGTGCACAGTGAAATTGCAGAGCTGAGGAACATGCTTTGTGTCAGAATAAGAGCTGCGTCAATTGTGATTCACTTCTAAATTTGAATTTCTTGGTTTCAATTCGCTTCTTTGAGGTTGCGGATATTATTATTATTATTATTATTATTATTATTATTATTATTATTATTATTATTTATTTTATTTTTTTAAAGCACTATTGTCACCTAAATTACATCTTCTAAAAAACCTTTTGTCTTTCAAAGGGCGGAGAAATGTCTAACTGCTCCTAACCAGGGAATCCAGAATGTCACCCTGCTCCTCAGCACTGTTGCTCCCTACAGTAACTTTGGGTTAAACCAGGAGGTGTTGGGTCACCCTTATTGCCTGCACCTTTGACAGCCCTATTTACATAAGTTACTTTGCTAATTAAAGTAATCGGCACTTCAGCTAGTAGCATGTAGTGTCTATACGTAGGGCTTTTGCTCCCTGATCTCGCTTCTTGGTAAAGCACTGTTAACATGCAGATTCCTGGAACTGGAATTAATTTTTAAATTTTTATCTTTTTATACCTATTTCAGAATTTCCACGGTTCATGGAATTTTTGGAATATCATGGAATTTTAAAAAGTCAAGGTTTTTTTTTTTTTGGGCCAAATCATGAAATATCAGGGAATCTAGTTGTTTGTCGCCATTGATCAAAATGTTGTGTTTTCCATGCAGTATTTTTCCTTATCGGTTTATTGCACATGGTTCCCATATTGCGTGAGCAGATGTCATTGGTTACCTGATTTTTCGGCACCCATATGTACCCTCCCTGCTTGTCAACAACGGGAAATCACTTCAGTCAAGATTTGCAAGCATACCAGGAAAATGTAAACTAGTAAATAAAACTTACAGATTGAAAATACTGTGGCTGATTTTTGTCTGCTCAGCACAAAAGCTGCCTGTTTTTCCATCCATCATAGGTCATGGAAATTAAGCTTTTTAGGTAGTGAAACTCAGGTGATAGTCAGGGAATTTATTTAACACTTGACTTTGAATGGGAGCCCTGTGTTTTGCTTTCCTTTGTATTGCATATTTCTTCAAACACAATCCACTTCACTACACAGTAGTATAGTGTATGATTGTGTATGTGACAAAGAAAGCTTGAAAACATGAAGTCATTGATGTTTCCCTTTCAACATATGTTAAAGGCTGAAAAAAGGATTTGTGCTTGAGAACCCAGTGATTTTATTGTGCTGAGGTGTTGTACGGCCAGTTCTGACTCTCGATCTTCGTTGCAGGTGAAAGGATCAGTAGAAGAAAACTGTGTGTCATGGCCGCTGCCCTGCAGAGATGCAGAAGCTCCCCATCGTAGCGCAGACACCCTACGATAATCAGGCTGAGCCCCAGGGAATGGCAGGGATGACCACCTCGTACATGAACGGCCACGTCTCCGAGTCGGATGCCGAGGGGAGCGGCGGAGGCCCGGCGGAGGGCCCAGAGGAGTCTCAGTGGCACAGGGAGATGCCCGTGGACTGCCCCAGCGATCTGGGGGCGCGCACCCTGCCCGTGAGACGCAGCGCGCAGCTGGAGAGGATCCGCCAGCAGCAGGAGGACATGAGGAGGAGGAGAAAGGAGGAAGAAGGTCGCAGCAAGCAAGAGCTGGATGTCAATTCCTCCATCCGCCTCAAGAAGTTGTCTCAGAATTCTAAAATCGGCATCGACAACCCTACGTTTGATCCGATTGAGGGGCCCGGTGGCACTTTGGGGCAACTGCAAGGTCTGGGAGGAGCCCCCACATTGCTGGGTAAGTTGGAGGCAGTGGGTAATGTTGCTTTTGAAGTCCTTCAATGATACACATGGCCAGTCCTTATACAGAGGAAATCATGCCTAGAGAGCTTCAGTATAACCCAGGAGAGATCTGAGTATGTGTCTGTTCATGGTGACAGATGATGGCGAATTTTTCAAAACCAGGTCAGTTGTAGGGGTACTTAACAAAATTTCCTATATGCAGAAACAGTCATTTGGGAAACTGCTATTTTATGGAGAAAAACGGGTTTTCAGACCTGGAACAGCGTACATTTTTACTGGAGAATTTGTCTGACCTCATCGTTTAGCGTCTAGCTTTTTTTGGTCTGATGCTCCGAATTGTGTGATATTCCGGATTCTGGAGTTTGATCAGGAAAGGATTCTGTCATTTGCAGCTTTTTTATGTACCTCTCTCTCCCCATATTCTTCAGAAGGCCTGTCTCAGGAGCGTAATCTCTAATCTACAGAAAACTTTAAAAAATGTGACTGGATTGGATTACAAAGGTCCTTTGTGTGCTCATAGGTATTTCCTTGCGGAAAGGACTTGAGATGAGTTTGTCGATGAGGCGTTCCTGGCTTCCTAGGAACCACTCGCCGCCACCCCTGAGCTTGCGTTGGAAAATCAGTAATGAGAACTTTCAGACAAATATCAGAGGGGGGGAGAAGCTGCCTTCCCACTAATGAATGCAGGGGAGGTAATGCTGGTGGAATTCCTCAGGGAGGGGGATGGGGACCTGCAGGCTGGGGGGTGGGGGTGTTGGTTTCAATTAAAAAGCTTTATACGCCGTGCTGACCTGGTAGGCTTTGGGTGTAGTAGGAGTTCACTGCTTCCTGCCGTTCACTCCCTGGCGTCCATTCTGACTTTCGGTATGTTTAAACCAGCCCAGATGGGTGTGGGTCTGCTGAATATAAGCTTTTTGGATGGTATCAACAAGAAAAAGTGGGAGTGTCTGTCACTCGAAGAGCTGCCATTGGCCTTTGGTCCTCCTCCTGTCATGAGCTTCTGGACACGTGAGCACAGACCCTCTCCGGTGAGGACATTATTGGACGCACACTTCTGTAAATCATGGATTCCGGTGCTTAGCATGGATAGATACCCAGGGAAACTCTCAGTTACTGGTGATGAATTCATGCTGTGTGGTTCAAGTTGAAGAACTGGTAAGGTTATGATTGCGCAATGTTTTGGTGCCTAGTTACTATAAACATATTTCTAGAGTCCATAAGATCTTGTTAATAGTATTGCGTAATACATAGGCTGTCGGTTCTGTTGTACATCCGTGACATGGACTGTAATTTGTGTGCCAGGTGCAGTTCCCATGTCAGCTGTACATGTGTCATCTTCCATCCCACTGTCCCCCTGCAGATCTCGAGGACCTGCTGATGTCCCTGAAGCAGGTGCAGCACTGCCTGGGTGACACCCAGAGCCAGGAGGATGTGGAGTTGGTACTGCAGCTGGTGCAGAAGACGGACTTCCAGAATGCCTTCACCATCCATAATGCCGTAGCGCAGCACATGAACCAGGCCAGCCCACCCTACCCCGTCATGGGCCGAGCTCAGACCCTCGTGCAGGAGGTACGGGTTGGGTGTGGGGGGGAGGCTGGGATGGGATGGGCAGCACTGAGGTGGACATCTGATATAACTTTATATGTCTAAAATCCAGACCTTGCCTAACAATCCCTCCAGGCCATAAATACTTCACATGAGTCATTCGTATGAAATATTTGTTAGCCCCATTCGGCATGTTTTATCTATCTGACATTTAGTATTATTAAATAATTAAATAATTGTGTATTAAGTATTCTGCCTTGAAGCCAAGTCCTACCAACAAAAATTTTGTTACGTGTGAATACGTGTGTTCTATTCTATTCTATTCTACCCTATTCTAATTCTTTTAGTAAATGAAACAATGTACAAAGAGAACTACATTTTTATTTTATTGGTTGTGTAAGTTGCATCCATCCATATGTCGCGGTCATGGGGAAAAGTTGACTCCAATATATTTTTGATGAGCAATGCATTCATGAAGAGAAAATGTTTTCGCACTGAAGACTGAAGTATGTCTAGAGCAGAGGTGTAAAGAGTACCTGAAAACCATACTTGAGTAAGAGTACAGATACCTTACTGTATAAATTACTCCATTACAAGTTACAAGTCACCAATTCCAATAAGACTTGAGTAAAAGTCGTAAAGTATCCAATTTTAAAAGAACTTAAGTATTTTACTCGTACTGAATGTA